TGTGTGTGTGTGTGTGTGTGTGTGTGTGTGTGTGACACACCTGTACTGGGGCTTAAATTCACAGATCTTAGCTTTTTTTTTTTTTTTTTTTTTTTTTTGTCGGTCATGGGGCTTGAACTCTGGGCCTGGGCGCTGTCCCTGTGCTCTTCAGCTCAAGGCAAGTGCTCTACCTCTTGAGCCACAGCACCACTTCCATTTTTCTAGTGGCTTATTGGAGTCTCATGGGCTTTTCTGCCCGGGCTGGCTTTGAACCATGATCCTCAGATCTCAGCCTCCTGAGTAGCTAGGATTACAGGCGTGAGCCACCGGTGCCCAGCTGCTCTTAGCTTTTTTGTTCAAGGCTGGCACTCTACCCCTTGAGACTCAATTTGATTTTCAGCTTTTTGCTGGTTATTTGGAGATGAGTCTCACGAACTCTTTTTGAGGGAAGGGGTCAGTTGTGAGGCTTGAACTCAAGGCCTGGGTGCTGTCCCTGAGCTCCTTTTTGCTCAAGGCTACTACTCTACCACTTTGAGCCACAGCTCCACTTCTGGGATTAGTTTTGTTTGGTGGTTAATTGGAGATAAAAGTCTCATGGAACTTTCCTGCCCAGGCTGGCTTTGAACTGCTGATTACAGGTGTGAACCACCAGCTGTCATGTACTATTATGTGAATTGGCAATCTTTAGATCTCAGGCTCCTGAATAGCTCAGATTACAGGTGTGAGCCTCCAGCTCCCTGAGCTATTCTTTTGAAAGCCATTTGGAGCATTCGGGGCTCTTGCAATCACTGTTGTCATGCATGTCCTGTCTGGGGTGCCCCTATGCCCCTGCGTGTGTATTTCTGCTGTGTACACAGTGTGTGGTGCACCTGCTAGTCATGACAGGCTTGGGGCTCAGCTTTGGTCACTGCCTTCAGTTTCCTGAAGTGGTGGTCTGATTTCTCTCCCATTCTGGGGGTTCTGTATCGTGAAAGAATTTTTCTTCTTTTTGTTGGTCGTGGGGCTTGAATTCAGGGCCTGAGTGCCGCCTTGAGCTTTTGTGCTCAAGGCTAGCACTTTACCACTTTGAGCCACAACACCTCTTCAGTTTTCTAGTGCTTATTTGGGGATAAAGAATCACAGATTTTCCTGCCCAGGCTGGCTTCGAACATAGATCCTCAGATCTCAGCCTCTTGAGTAGCTAGGATTACAGGTGTGAGCCACTGGTGACAGGCTAAGAGATCTTGTGTGTGTGTGTGTGTGTGTGTATGTGTGTGTGAGAGAGAGAGCTGTGGGGCTTGAACTCAGGGTCTGGGTGCTGTCCCTGAGCTCTTTTACTCAAGGCTAGTGCTCTACCACTTTGAGCCACAGCATCACTTCCCCTATGAGATTTTTACATCCATTTTATAGATGACAATTCGCCCTGATTTCACTGCAATATGTTTTGCGGAGCCCACCATTGGTGCCAGTTCTGTGGAGGCAGGGGGCTGGGAACCCACACGTACGCGTGTGGCACAGGGTCCGTGCCCTCCCTTCTCCTCAGGTGGAATCTAATTTGAATTCAGGCATGTTCTTGCATGTCGGCTCTGCTGCTCTTTCTCTACCCCTCCTGGGAGCTCGTTAAGTGTGAGCACCTAGTAAATGCTCAGTAAGGGTGAGAGCTCAGTCCCTTCTCAGCGGCCATGAGCCCAGCCCCACGCCAGGAGAGCTTGCTCTGGTATCGGATGGCTAGTGAAAACACAGAGGTGTTCGTTCTCAGGGCCCAGGCAGCGGGAGGGAGACTGTGCACTCTTCCAATGCATTTATGATAGAAGAGGAGAGGTTGTTCACAGGGCAGGTGTTCACGGGTGCAGGGCAGAAGCCTCTGGCTGGGGAGACATGACAAGGTGAAGTCTTCCCTGCTTCACAGCACACTGCAGAGGGCCCTGAGGCCTGGGGTTTGTCTGGACTCAAGGTTGTTCAAGTTCACCAGCAGCAACCTGTTCTGAAAGCAGGGGAAGCTTCAGTCCCCAGCTGGCCCTTCCGCCCCAGGCACATGCTGGCGGGGGGGGGGGCTGGAGTGGGGGGGAGCTTTCCTCCTTCCAGCCTCCAAGGCCTGGAGGATGGTGAACTCTATGAGGGCTGGGTCTGTGACTGCCAGCCCCTCCCCCAGCCAGTCCCTGGGGCAGGGCTGGACCCCCTGCCCCCCTCCTGGAATTGAGTAGAACTCTTGAAGAAGCCAGGTCCCCTGGCTTGGTGGCTTGGCAGATTCCAGCCTGCTTGGCAGGGTCCCTTTACTGTCTCAGCTCAATCAAGGCCTCTATGACAGGGACACTTCTCACAGGTTCTCATGGCATGCGTAGCAGCCCCCCCCCCCTCCCGCAGCTGGCCTCTCAAGGACCAGGGGGTGCTGGCTTTGCCAGGAGATAGGGTATCCTAATTTCAGCACTTGCCAATCCCTAGGAGTTTGCCTTGGCTGGCTCAGGTACTCACCCATGAGTCCTTGCAACAACTTCACATCCAACTGCCCGAGGATCTCGCCAATCAGAGGGCACACCTAGGCCATCAGCCAAGACACAAGGTCAGCCCAGGGGCTGGGCTGGGAGCCCGGGTGTGGGTGAGGCTGGGGACGCCCAGGCCACTGGGTTTCCAGAAGGATCCCTGGCAAGAAGGGCTCCATACTGAGCCCATCTACACACTAGGCACCAGGTCCTGTGTCGTCTCCCTGAATCTCCATGCTCTATTTGACAGGGACTGCCATGGTTCCTGAGCTACCGATGGGGAAATGGAGGCTCGGGGCAGTTTCCCCCAAGGAAATGCATCTAATGGCAAAACAAAACCGTAATTGAGCCTTTCAGGGTTGTAGAGCGCTGAGGGTTGAAATCCTCTGCTAAGTGGTCTGTGTGTACGTCCTGACCCGCAGACTCAAGGAGGCCCACAGGCTAGTTTTGTGTACTTTTTCTCAAATGTACCTGATTTTCCACCAGATTTGGGATGATTTTCCCCAGGTTCTCTTTGAGGCTGTGAAGAGTTTGTTTCATCTTAGATGGGATGGTCCTAGAAAGAGAGGCAGGCACACGGGACAGAGGGGTTGACTCCGTGCAATGCTCAGGCCTGGTGGGTGCCGAGTGCACTTTCACACTCTTCCAATCCACCTGGCCCTGTACAAGAGGCTTTACAGCCAGCCACAGTCAAAGGGGAGCTCAGAGAGGTCCTGTGGCCTGCCCAAAGTCACACCACAAAGAGAAACACTGTAGAGAAGACAGGAAGGACATTCCTGTCCTTGCCCAATGAAAAGGCATTGGGCATGTGCAAAGGCCCCAGGAGTGTAAAAATACATGGCATATTATGAAGGAGTGGGGTGTTCTAAGATCCAGGAGGGTGAGGAGCTGCAGAATGAGGCAGTGGGGATGACAACTGGGGGCTCTGGTGACATTCTGGAGGTTTCTCTTCACACCAAGGGAGTTGGAGAGCAGGTGGGAGAATGGAGTGAGGTCTGAGCAGGGACGGCGGGAAGGAAGGGCTTGGGAGGTGGCAGTGCTGCCGGCTCCACCTTGGGAGGCACAGGAAGAGGGTGTGGAGGGTGGGGTCTGCTTTGGACCTGTCAGGAGGAGGCAGGGATGGGAGGCTGCAGCCTGAGCCCCGGGCGGGCAGGACAGGGGAGGCTTACTCAGTGAGACTGGTTGTGCTCACGCTGCCTGGCTCCATGCGGCACCTGCCCAGCACCAGATCTCTCCTGCCAAACTGATCTTTCTCCAGCCAGAACTCCACAGAGAGGTCCATGTGCGCATGTGTCTTGAAGATGTCTACGTTGAAGGGCCTGGGGGAGGGGACAGAGAGGAAGAGGCAGGAAATGGGGAGACAAGGTGGGGGGCAGGAGCACCCAAGCCCACACCCACAGGCGGCTAGAGACAAAGATGTCGTTCTTTCTTTCTTTTTCTTTTCTTCTCTTTCTTTTCTTCCCTTTTTGGTGCTGGGTGTGAACCCAGACCTTTTTTTTTTTCTTTTTTGCCATTCCTGGGGCTTGAACTCAGGGCCTGGGCACTATCTCTGAGCTGCTTTTGCTCAGAGCTAGCACTCTATAACATGAGCTACAGTGCCACTTCCAACCTTTTCCGTTTATGTGGTACTGAGGAATCGAACCCAGGGCTTCATGCATGTTAGGCATTAAGCCACATTTCCAGCCCAAACCCAGAACTTTGGCACTGACCTCACCAGCCCCAGAGTGACATGAAAACCCTTTAAGTAGGCCAGCAGCCTTTGGAAATTATCTCTACTTTCAAATCTTTCCCCATCTCTTTTACTCATAGACCTCAGGATGGCCATGATTCATCTTCACTAGCCATTTCCACTGGCACTCTCTCTCTCTCTCTCTCCCCCTCTCTCTCCCCCTCTTCTCTCCCTCTCCTCTCTCTCTCTGAAAGAAAATGAAAGTTCAGAGGTGTGAAGTAAGTTTCCCAAGGTCACACAGCCAATGAGTTCAGAAACCAGAATTTGAATATAGATGGGGGTTGGAAAGATCTGGATTTCCCAATTTTCCCTTAGCTCCCAGGCCTCCAGCAAGAAGGAACTGTGTCGTGCAGACACTACTTCTGTGGAACTCACAGTCTCAATTCCATGTCAAAATCAAGGGAGATGTTTGCCAAGATCCATTCCTTCTGGTCAGACATCTGGATTCCCCCACAATCCAGCTGCACATTGCTAATGTTGACACTACACAGGGAGAAAACAGGCTGTTGGGGTGACGAGCTGAATATAGTCAAGACCTTGTGCTGAGAAACCAAGCCGTCCTGTCTGCACAGAGGGCTGGCCTCTCTCTTTCTCTCTCTCTCTCTCTCTCTCTCTCACACACACACACCCCAAAGCCCCATCTTCTGGGCCTTCTGCTTTATCTCCTTTCAATTTCCCTTTCTTCCCTCTTCACCAGCTTTTTGCTCGCTTCCTCTCAGATTTGTCCTCTGAGTCAGAGCTCTACTGAGAGCCTGGGGCCAAGGAAAGGGCTTAGGGTCTCACCTGATCTCTTGCTGCCGGAAGTTCATGCTACCAATTAGCCAGCCCACCATCCCGGGGACTACCTGCCCTGAGATGTTCACACTGTCCACATGGTGGATGCTCTGGATCCGGCCTTCTGCGTTGTGCTCCAGGAGGCCTTGGGCAATGACTGGAGATGGAGAAGGGACAATGATTTGTGTATCATTGTGGAAAAGGCCAAGGGGGTGGGAGGGGAAGGAGGCCTGGGGTACAGACCAGTGCACTCTTTTCTTGCTAAGATTGGTCAAGTCACCATGTCTCCCACCCCCATGAATCTGTGTACCAGGCCTGCGAAGAAGTCCACCCCGCACTGTATACTTAAGTCCAGAGCACAGGGTTAACATACAAGACAGCGGTTGCCAGAGAGGTTGATGGAGGACAGAAAGAGGTTGGTATATATGGAGAGAATACAAATTACCTCATCTCATGCTTGGGAGAAATTGTAGGACTAATTGATTAGAATTTCCAATAAAAAAGACTAAGTCTCAAAAAGAAGGGAATTTTCAAAGCGAAGAATACACTAACTCCTAACTCTCTGAGCTCCTTAATCCCTGTTCTTTGCTTTACTCTTTTTCCTTTTCCTTTTCTTTACCCTTTTTCCTTTCCTTTTCCTCCTTCTTTCCTTTCCTTCCATCTTTTCCATGAATGCATGCATCCATCCTTCCCTCATTCCAATCTGATGCTGACTTGGCTTAAATGCTCTCCTGATTCCTGATCCAGGTAAGGCTGTTGATTATCTAAGCCATTATTGTGTGGTTCACTGTTGGGAAACCCTTGATGTTCAACATTGTCACGTGACCCAATCAGAATAAACAGAAGATTTTTGTGTTCCATGTTGGAGGGGGAAGGCTCTTTCTCTTTCTCCTATTGGATAGGAACAGGACAACTTGTAGTTACTATGGTCACTGACTATCACTTTCCTAACATTCATTATCAACCTGAAGATGACAAAGCTGATCCTGGCAGAACCGAGAAATGAACAACATCCAGGCCAGATGGAAGCTCTGAGCTTCTCTCTGGGCTGAAGCAGACCTGGAGTATGTCCTATTTATGGCTTTTAGTCTTGTGAAATTTTCACTTTTTCATTGTTCAAGCTGGGTTAACTGGGGTTTCTGGGACTTGCTGCAAACTCTGTAGCTGACATGAAAGATGATGATAGTGCATAAACATTCACAGCCCACACAGCACTGTGCACCTGTTTCTCTTTATTTAATCCCCCTGAAAACCCATCCACGAACACTCCAACTGCACCATTGTACAGTGGAGGCTGTGTGGGCCACAGCCTCACACCAACATGTGTGATAATCCAGGAAAAATAGATGTAACAGATGACAGTAAATTTAAAATGTTGAATTTTGGCAAGGAAAAATAGAAAACATCTGTATTGTAAGAAATTGAGAAGTGTCTTAGTTTTTGAAGAAATAACTAAAGCTTCTTACCTGGGCAGACACATGGAAGGTTTGTGGTTGTTTTGTTTTGTTTTTTGTCAGTTGTGGGCCTGAGCGCTGTCCCTCAGCTCTTTAACTCAAGGCTACCGCTCTACCACTTGAGCCACAGCACCACTTCTGGCTTTTTCTGCTTATGTAGAGCCTCATGCATGTGAGGAAAGCACTCTACCACTGAGCCACCTTCCCAGCCCCTTGTGAGTTTTTTAAAATTACTATAAAGAAGAATTGGAAAGAAAATAGAAAAAAGGTATGTTAGGTCCATCCCTTGAGGCTTATATAAATTGCTTGGCTTCAAAGACAAAAGAAGAAAGTTTGTGTGTGTGTGTGTGTGTGTGTGTGTGTGTGTGTGTGTGTGCGCGCGCGTGTGTGTGCATATGCACGCATGTGCATGCAAGTGCATGCATGTGCACATGTGCATGTTTTGTACTCTTGCTTAGGTTTTTCATTCTACCACTTGAACCATATCTCCAGTTCCAGCTTTTTGCTGGTTAATTGGGAATAAGTCTCTTGGATTTGTCTGCTGAAGCTGGCTTTGAACTGGGATCCTCAGATCTCAGCCTCTTGAGTAGCTAGGGTTTCAGCCACCATGCTCAACTCATGAATTAGTTTTATATATATTAAAAAATGTGGTTTGAAATCAGCCCAGGGATAAAAGTCTCCATGAGACTCATCTCCAATTAATTACATAAAAACCAGGAGTGGAGCTGTAGCTGTAGTGACAGAGTGCTTGCCTTGAGCACCAAGAGGCTCAGGGACAGCACCTAGACCCTGAGTTCAAGCCCCACAACTGACCCAAAAAAATGTGCTGAATTCTAACTAGAGAGGGGCATGGGTGTGGGGGATAGAAAGAAGTTAAAGGAGTATAAAAATACAGTTAAAGGAATTGGGTCTGCTTCCCTATAGCACACTAGGAGAATTATTGGTTACAACAATCTATAATATATTTTAAAATAACTAGAAAAGTATAAAATTTCCCCCTACACAGAAATTATTAATGTTTGAGGAGACAGATATGCTAGCTTACTGATTTAATATACTTATTGTATACATATATCAAACTATTGCACTATACCCCATACATATGCACAAATAATCTGTCTTAACAAGAATAATAACATGAAACATTATTTTAGTCAATGGCTTTCAATGCTTAAGAAAAGGACAAAGAAAAATTTGCTAATACTCTAAATAATTTATTAGCTTACAAATATCTAATACATTGTCATTTAATTCAGAAATTCATGGATGGTTCAATAGCAGAAATTCAATCAACACAATTTATTATTTAAAATATTAGGAAAAAAGTATTGACTAACTCTTAAATGCAAAAAAATTGTCAAAGGCCAATACTGATTTATGATTAAGAAAAATATATGAAGGTAGGAATATAAAGAACTGTCTTGATCCAGGCATAGTGACTCATGCCTGTAATCACAACACTTGGGAGGCTGAGACAGAATGATTTTTAATTCAAGTTTAGCCCGAGGAACATAATGAGTTCAAGAGCATAGGCTACACATAATGAGGCCCTTTCTAAAACTAAACAAATAGGCAGACAATAACAAAAACCCCTAAACTTCCTTATGCAATAAAAACTATATTCTCAAAACCTAAAAATAGCCTATTTAGAAGAGAATTCTTGATACATTTCCATTCCTGTAGAGTGTCCTAGCTATAATTCAAGATAAGAAAGGTACAGAAAGCCTATGGGAGCATGAGGAAGTATGAGAGGAAAGATAAAGTTATATTGGGGAGGTAGAAGAGGAAGGAAAAAGGGGTGAAGAAGAAGGGGAGAGAAAGTAATAGAGGGGCTGATTCTGTGCATGTATGAAATACAGTAATGGAACCGCTTACTATATGCAATATAATATACCCCGAGAAATAAACATTCTTCAAAGCCAAAGAACGTTAGAAAAATGAGAATGCAAACAGAGAAAGGAACCAAAAATAAGAACTTGGAATTCAAAGAATTCAAGACAGTTAACAAAATTAGGATGACATGCTTGAATTTCCCACCCAACAGATAAAGACATTAAAACAATTAAGCACTCAACTACACACCAGCCTCACCGAAAATGAGAAAGACAATGGTATAATGGAACTCTCTCTCTCTCTCTCTCTCTCTCTCCAAGGTGACTGTATTTGGAGACAGTCCTTCAGAATGGTAAATAAGGTCAAGTGTGATCACAGGGTCTCAGTCCTAATCTGCTAGGATGTGTGACCTTGTAAGAAGAGGAAAAGACACCAGAGATGACTTTCTTTCAAAGCCATATGAGAATGCATAGCAAAGGTGACTATCTACAAACAGGCAACACAAACTTCACCAGAAATCAACCCTGACAGCACCTTGAATTTCTGGGCTCCAGAACAGCTAGATAACGACTTGTTTATACTCCCTTCCCTTCCTGTTTGGAGTCTTATTATAAGGCAGTCCAAGTAGAAGGATACACATAGATGTCCCCTAGGGGCAGGAAGGTGAAGAGTCAGGAGTGCTCATGTATTTCTGGCATGGATGTAGACCACAACCATTCTGGAGAAGGTTCCAGCAGTTTGGGTCAAATTGAGCCTGCATCTCCTCTGGAAAGACAGCTTTGGCAGCTGTCCTCCATCTGGTACATCCCAGAGTGATTCTCCCCTATAAAACAAGGCTATATCCAGGCATGCTCATTTTGGTGCAGGCTACAGTAGTGGGACCAAATAGGAGTTCACTCCTAGAGTGATGGTCAAGTAAGCAAAGATAGATAAACCCATGGGTCTCTCTGTACCAACCAAAGCAATATGATGTCAATGACATGTGGAGAGAAATAAAAACCAGAGTGAGTGACATACATCAGTACATTTGCATAAGTTCCATGACTTCCTGTAATGGGTATAGGCATAGTCAGATACATATACTTAGCCCAGGACAGTGTCTGCAATAACTGTGGAGGCAAGAGAGTGAAGATAAGAGAGAGGAAAAAACTTTAACAAAAAAGGAAAGGTAGGACTTTAAGGGATTTATGAGAGTTATGATCTACTATGAATTTGCATATAACCAACTCACTCTCGATCTCCTGGAAGAAGGTTCTAAGAGGGACTTAGAAAAAAAAGATCAAGAAAGTAAAAGACTGAGCAGAGGTCACTTAGCTCTTAATGGGAGATCCCAAGCTGTGCCTTCCCTCAACCCTGCAGACATCAGGCCAAGCAGTGGGGCTGAGCTTACTTCTTGCCAGGATGGACTTGCTGCCTGGGTGAGCTGTGACCAGGCCAGGCCAAGGCTGCTTGTGCAATGCCAAAGGCAAGGCCAGAAATCCGAGGAGGAAAAGGAGACTCCAGAGTAGATGCATGTCAGGTTTTGGGACCTGCAGATGTCAAGAAGAGTAGATGGGACCTAGAGAGCTGACTGTCAGGGTGGCCACCTGGACAGATGGGCTCATGGTTTTCTACAAGCAAGAGTCACCGGAGCTTTCCCCAGCATGCCGTGGGAGGTGGTGCAGTGAACTCTGGCAGCTGCTCCTAGGGGGAGGCCAGGCTCAGGAGAGAGGCCTGGTTGCTTGGAGACATTCACCAAAGCCCACTATTGGGTCATCCAGCAGGAGTCCTCTCCCAGGCCCTGGCACAGGCAGCAGATGGGGGACTCTTTAGTGAATGAGTGAATGAGTAAATGAAGGAATGAGGATGGCTAAACCCTATTCTGCCCAATATTACTAGAGAGAGGGTTATGGGGTGTTTTGTTTGTTTGCAAAAAATAATGCGTAGATGAAATTAAGAACTAATGATTTTTTTTTTTGGCCATGGGGCTTGAACTCTGGGCCTGGGCACTGTCCCTCAGCTCTTCAGCTCAAGGTAAGCACTCTACCACTTGAGCCACAGCACCACTTCCAGTTTTCTGGTGGTTAATTTGAGAGAAGAGTCTCATGGACTTTTCTGACTGGCTTTGAACCATGATTCTCCGATCTCAGCCTCCTGAGTAGCTAGGATTACAGGAGTGAGCCACTGGCACCCAGCCTAATGAATGTTTTTGTGACTAAATTACTGAACAAAATGAATGAAGATGACTGTGTGAGTCAGCTTTGCAGTGCTGTGACAAAACACCAGAAACAAACACATTAAAAGGAGAAAAGGTTTATTTATCTTGGCTCATAGTTTCTGAGGTTGCTCTGCCCAGTTCCTTCGGAGATCTTTGGTGAGTCCATCTATCATGGCAAAACATTGATAGGAAAGAGCTGCTCATCTCATGGCAGCCAGGAAGTAGAGATCACTTTAAAAAATAATAATAAAATCTCTTTCCTGAAAGCCAATAATTATGACTCCATAAAAGGCTTAATCCATTGATGAGCTCAAAGCTTTTGTGACTGGGTCACCTCCCAATTACATTACAGCATTGAGAATTGACACAGTTACCTCCCAATCACGTCTCAGCATTGAAGACTGTTCCTTCAGCCTAGGAGGTTTCAGGAGACATGGAAGATCCAAACTATAATAATGGCTTTGAATCCTCTCTGAATCACCAAACTGCAGGTATATTGAGAGAGTGTGTGTGTATGTAGTTCTGATATCTATGGCAACTCCTATGCTCACCTCATGGTAATACTAACATGTGCTTATTAAATGATATAACTGAGTGAATATGTGATTGGATGGCTAAATGGATGGGTGGGTGGGTAGACAGCTGGATCTCATCTTTTCAGATAAGCTACAGGAGGAACCACAGTCTTGAAGCCAAACTATCAAGTTTTCTTTGGAGCCCTGGGCTAGGAGTTGAGCAGGGAATTCTGTCCAAATCTCCTGTCCTCATGCCAGGAAATGTCACCACAATACATCCATGCAGATGTTCCAGTTCCAGCCCCTGGAAGTGCCCTGGACTTGTCTCCTACCACTCATTTGTCAGACGATGCTGTTCACACATCCAGAACCTGACTCCATCTAATAATCCCTCCTTATCTAGCACCTCCATGGCCTGACTCCTGCAAAGAGTCCTACATGGCTCTCAGATTTTTCCCTTGTCTGCCTAGAGTCTCTTTCCTATATTGGTGCCTCAGCAACCATCTGAACACATAGCTGAGACCATGCTGGTCCTCTGCTCAAAACTCTTCATGGCTTCCCATTGTACTCAGAGTACCACACTCCATGCATGGCCTCCCAGACCCAATAGAATCCCTGTACCCTATCTGATTCATCCCTCTTTTCCCCAGCCCCACAGGCCTGGGGCTTACAATTCCACAGCCATGAGCACCAAAACAAAAGCACTTGTCACTGACCTTGTGTTCTCCCTTCAGATCTAGGGGAAGGGCAAGATGCCACACAGATAAGAGAGGGAAACCTGGCCTTGGCAAATCTCCCTGAAGCCCTGGACCCACCCTTGGGTCACCCCTTGATTTTGTAAGAGGACCACACTGAGAGCTCCGTTCTGGTGTTGGCTTTCCAGTATGTGAGGCCCTTTCTCAGCGTTTACACTCCCCTTGGAGCTGTTTGTAGAATATCAGTTACTTCCGAGTGTACTTTTCTAATTTTCCGGGTCTTGTGTAACCAGTCAGGATTTTGTTATTCTTGTGAAAAGAACTGGAAAATCACAGACACCACTGATGGCAGCAAACCTGGTGTCCGAGTCACGGGGGTTGGGGTGGGGACACTTCTGGCCCGGCCTGCTCTCCTTTGTGCTTCCTAGGGCTGCAGACTCTCAGCCTGAGGTGTTGGAGGGTGCAGCCTCAGACCTTGAGGCATGACCAGGGAGAAAAACTAGAGGGATGAGTTTGAGGCCAGCCTGGACTACACAGGGAGATGCTATTGAGAGGAATATTGGCATGAGTGAGCACTCTGAGGTATATAAAGTGCATAGATGCATGCCAGATGTGGATGGAGACATTGTTCCAGGTGGCGAGGAAGAGGAAGAGCAGGTGGGGAGGGCTGTGCCATCGTCATTAAAGGTGGCGGGTGTTATCAAGTTTGGGGGAACATGAGCACTGAATCAGAGTTCCCTGGCCCTGTGCAGGAGCAGTCATAGATGATGTAGAGTGAGTTATTTTAAGGAGTTGGAGGAAGAAATCAATTTATGGAGGCCTCAAGAAGCAGATGATAATGAGGAACATAGAAACATATTTTGGTGACAAAAGAATTGGAGCTTTCAAAGCCCCGATAAGCTTTACCTAATAAGACATTGTAGATTCTCAGAGGAGGCTGTGGTCCAGCCCTCAAGGCTGGATGAGGGGAAGGTGTCTGGGCAGCTGGAACTCCCCAGAGCCATGGATTCAGGTCAGAGAATATTGCAGACAAGACAGGAGGCTCTGTTCCTGGTCTGGAGGAGCTGCACATCAGAATGCAACAGCTACTTCGGAGACCCGGGAAGAAACAAGCCAGCGTTGTCCCTCACTTTCCAGTTCTGCCTCTGCCTTCTGCCCCACTTCTCCCAGGTGGCAGCATGGAGCCAGGTCCACTGGCAGCTCTGAGCAATGGTGGGAAGAGCATGGGGAATGGCAAACTCAAACTGCCTAGGTGGTGACCAGGCGAATGACATTCCAGAGAGGATATCAGCAGTGGGACCTGCTTTGCAGTGGGACAGACCAAGTGTTGAGTTTTTTATGGCCATGAGGCTTGAACTCAGGGCCTGGGCTCCATCCCTGAGCTTTTTGCTCAATGCTAGAGCTCTATTCCTTTGAGCCAAGCAGTGCTACTTCTGGTTTACTGGTGGCTAATTGGAGCTAACAGTCCATGGACTTTCCTGCCTAGGCTGGCTTCAAATCACGATCCTCAGATTACAGCCTCCTGAGGAGTGAGGATTGCAAGTATGAGCCACTGTCTTCTGCCTGTTTTAGGCAGGATGTGAGCCACAACCCAGTCTCTATTCTGCCCAGTGTGTTGGTGCCGCTGTCCACTGTCCATGGTGCTGAACCATGCTCCTACCTAGACACCACCCACCACCCATTCCTTGTTTTTGTCACCATTCCCTGGACTCTATCTCACCCACCTTGACCTAGTAAATGACACAAGGAGGCAAGTGTCTCCAGATGCTGTATTAGTCAAGAGACCTTTCTCACTTTTTTTTTCCTCTTGCTTTTTTTCAGATGAGTTCTTGCTATGTGGTCCAAGCTGGCCTTAAATTTGAGACCCTGCACTACTTTTCCAAGAGTTGGGATTAAAGGTGTGTTACCAAGCCAGGACATATTTCTTACTCTTAATAGTGGCAAGTCACTTATCTTTACAAAATACTTTCTTGACTAAACCAAACACTCTGGTGGAAAGGAGCAAATTTGGGACTCCTGGGATGACTGCTGGCCTTAGGTGTGACAGGTAGCTTCCTGGAGACTGGAAGGAGAGAGGCATCGGGGACTGCTGGTTCCACCCAGCAGATGCTGTGGCCATGTATGAAAAAAACTGTTGGTGCCACACTGCTTTTGCCAATGACAGCAAGGAACAAATTTGAGAGACAGACACGATACAATGGAAGGAGACTTGCCTGTCCTCATAGTTAAGGGATTAGACTGGATGGGTTTGCTTCAGGCAGTTTTAGCAACAGATCAAACAGGACATTCCAAGAGGCAGTGAGCAGGACATCAGGAAGCAGGGGGACACATCCACTCAGCCATCATCTTGTCTTTTGACAGGATCACTGCAGACTGTCAATACCCACCATCCCCTGTCTTTACTAAGATGTAGGACACAGTCACACAATCTGCAGTTTTTCGCTTCATGAATACAGTCCATTCCAACTTCCTGCACTCTGTCAGGGTTATAGGGGCTCCATTTCCTGCATCCTGCAGGGTTCTAGGGTTCCCATGGGGGACATCAGGGAACAGAGTGCTATGAGATGACACAAAGTCCCAACCACAGTCCTGTCCTGCCTGACGATGTAAACATCTGTTACCCAGAGCTGTGATCTCTTGGGAGAGGGAGGTCACCAAAGGGGAGGAGAGCTCTGCCTTGCCCTCAGGTACTGAATTTGTGATCTCTCTCTCTCTCTCTCTCTCTCTCTCTCTCACACACACACACACACACACACACACACACACACACACAGAATCTGAGGGCACATTGTTGAGATAGAGACCAGGAAAGTTTATTAGCACACAAATCAGACCTGGGTATAGGCACCCTTGGTAGCAGGTGCTATGAGCTCTGTAACATCATGGATCTTTATGGTGAAAAATTGGGTTGGAGGTTGGCTCCAATTCACCTTTGAGTGAGTATTCCCCTTGATGGACACCTGGGGCCCTCCACTGTTCTCACTGCTGTACTGTGATATCACTTAGGCCCAGAGGTTTCAAGGTTGATCCACTTATTAGGTTTGGGATGTGGCCACAAAGAGCATTTTTTAGTTTAAACAAAGTGTGGGCTCTGCCACACGCTCCCG